TTGCTTCCATTTTCCCACTTTAAAAAAAAAAAAGAAAGAAAGAGGCCAGGTACTATGACAATCTTAGCACTTGAGATTCCAATATTCAGGAGGCCGAGGCAGGAGGAACTCCACAAGTTTAAGAACATCCTGAGCTATATAGCAAATTGAAGACCAGCCAGCCTGGACTACATGATATCTTCTCTCAGAAAAAGAAAAAAAAATAGAAATAAAAATAAGGAGGCTAGGGAGGTGGTTTAATGAGTAAAATGCTTCCTGTACAAGCATGAAACCCGAGTTTTAATTTCCAGCACCCATGTGATAGCTAGGCTCAGCAGCACAGGTCTATAACCTGATCACCAGAGGATGTAGACAGGAGGATACCAGGGGCTCACTAGACAGCCAGTCTAGCCAAAATGGTGAGCTCCAGGTTCAATAAGAAACTCTGTCACAAAAAAATAAGGTAGGGGGGCTGGAGAGATGACTCAACAGTTAAGAGCACTTACTGCTCTTCCACAGGACCCAGGTTTGGTTGCCAGAACCTAAATGACTGCTTACAGTCATCTGTAGTTCCAGCTCCAGGGAAGCCAATGCCCTCTTCTGGCCTCCTCAGGCATTCTATTCATGTGGTGCATTTACATACTTACAGGCAAAATACTCAAACACATAAAATAAATAAATCTAAAAAAAAAGGTGGAGAAGCCACCTCTTACAAGTCATTGAGGAAGATAGACAGACATTAACCTCTGGCCTGCACACACACACACATACACACACAGTACATGGGTACCCACATCCACTTTTTTTTTTTTTTTTTGGTTTTTTTTTGAGACAGGGTCTCTCTGTAGCCCCAGCTGGCCTGGAACTCACTATGTAGACCAGGCTGGCCTTGAACTCACAAAGATCCACCTGCCTCTGCCTCCCAAGTGCTGGGATTAAAGGCATGTGCCACCATGCCTGGCCTACACCCACTTTTAAAAAATAAAATAAGGGACTGGAGAGATGGCTCAGCAGTTAAGAACTCTGGCTGTTCTTGCAGAAGACCCAGGTTCGAATCCCAGCACCCACATGGCAGCTAACAACTGTCCATAATTCCAGTTCCAGGGGATCTGACAGCCTCTTCTGACCTCTTGCTGGCATTGCATGACACGAGTGCACTTACATACATGCAGGCAATACACTCATACACATAAAATAAAAATAGCAAATAAAGTATATTTTAAAAAATAAATAAAAACAAACCCAAGTCAATAAATAAACAAGATTAGGGCTTTATTCTAGTCATCTTTCCTCCTCTTAGCTTGGAAAGGAAAATTACCCCTTGCATATTAACTTTCTTTTTCTTTTTTTTTTGGTCTTTTTGAGACAGGGTCTCTCTGTAGCCCCAGCTGTCCTAGAACTCACTATGTAGACCAGGCTGGCCTTGAACTCACAGAGATCCGCCTGCCTCTGCCTCCCGAGTGCTGGGACTAAAGGCATGCGCCACTACACCCGGCAACATGTTAACATTTTTTATTTCTCTGAATAAATTTAGTTGTTGATTTTTGGGGGTGGGGGGCAGGGTCTCATGTATCCCAGGCTGGTCTTGAACTTGTTATGAGGCAAATGATGACTTTCATAAGGTGATCTCCCTGCTTCAGCTTCTCCAATGCTGGGATTATAAGTGTGAGCTATTATGCCCAGCTTCCAAAGTTATTTTAAACATTTATCTGTTGCCTAGATTCACCAGAACTTTGAATGAGCAGTCAGGTATGAAAGACCCAGCATCCAATACAGCAGATCAAGAAACTCTATTAGTGGGGCTGAAAAAATTGCTCAGGGGTTAAAAGCACTTGCTGTTCTCAGCCAGGCATAGTAAGGCGCCTTTTAATCCCAGCACTAGGGAGGCAGAGGCAGGTGGATCTCTGTGAGTTCAAGGTCAGCCTGGTCTAAAAA